AACCTCAAAGGCCAGTGGGGCACAGCTGGGGCACAGGAGGGCCTGTGGCTCCTTCTCATGCTGCACCCCGTGCTCCTCAGCTTCAATTCCAAAGACCAAGACAGAGATGAAGGAGAATGAGCCTTGCATGGTGACTTGTGGGACGTTTCTCAGCATTTTCTCTCCAAGCTCTGGCAGGATGGAGCAGCAGACATGTCCCTGCTGCCTGAAGACCACCCAGTAAAACCCTCACATCCCACCTGACATTGCTGGTGCCTCACATGCCTTGGCCACAGTGTCCACTGCCAGCCCCCACCGCTCCCAGCCCCCAGAACACGAAGTCCCCAGGTGTGCTGTGGCTTTTACAAGTGGGTCCCAGTTATCCCACTGTGTGCACTGCTCTGCTCCAGCCCTCAAAGGCTTTGGATCTCCCTCCTGCCAGTGACACTTTCCACGGCCTCTGTTACCAGTGTGCTCGGTGATGAGGACAAATGTGTGCATCCACTCAGGACTTCAGCTCAGGTTTTGTGTATATAAGGCAGAACTGGTTTTCCTTTTTATTTTTTAGGCATGGGTGAAAATAAAGCCAAGCAGGGATCCTGTGTGACACAGGTTTGTTGCTGTCATTCCTGCCTGTGGCGCTGAGGCAGGGGAGGATGCTGGCTTTGGGCTTGCACTGGGCACAGCCAGGGCTGGGGAGGGTGTCTTGGGGCAGCAGCCTTGTCCTGTAGCACAGGGTGTGCCTGTCCCACAGGGACACTGCTGGCAGTGGCATGGCTCATATCGTGGCATGGCACTGCCACGTCTCATTCCTGTGGCACCAAGAGGGATGGCAGACACGATGGCTGCAGACTCACAGCACTGCAGACAGAGGGGAGAGGTGAGGCCACTGTTGGGCTGGCAGAGGCCAAAGAACAAGGCCGGCTGCCCACGGATGTGGCCGCCTCCCGTTGGCGCCTCCTGGTCTCTAATCTCATTTTATGGCTGTCGATGGGCTGAATATCCTCCTTGTCCAAGATGAATAAACAGAGAATGAGGATGTGAGATAGTGCCTGGGACAGCTGGCATTGGTGCCTGACACTCTCCCCTTTCCATCCCATCAGTGTTTCCCTCCTCTAACAGAACACTGAGCAAGCAGCTGCCCTGGAATCCCTGCCCCAAATGGCTCCTCCAGCCCCAAAACTCTTCCCAGTGCCAAGCATTGCATGGGGTGTGTTGAGGTGCCAGGGCAGGGCAGCTGGCTGTGGAAGGACACCTGAAGCAGGATAAAGTCCTCGTGGGTGGAGGAGATGGAGGAGTGGGAACAGGATGAGGTAGCATTGCTGAGAGAGGGACAGAGCAAAGTGTTTGTTCCTGCAATTGCAACAGAGGCTGCACCTACTGCTGCACCTACTGCTGCACCCTGGTGACCCTGCATGGTGCCAGGCTGCCCATGGCACAGGAGAAACACCCCATGCACCCCTGCAAGGAAACATGGGGAACCAGGAACTAAAACAGGCAGGGGGATGCAAATGCAATGGAGCTGGTGCCATATAGGAAAGGGATGAGACTGAATCAGCCACCTGCCTGAGGAGCTGGGCTGGACTGGGGAAACTGGAGCTGCTCCTGTGTGCAAACTCCAGCATGGTCCCCATGGTGGGGGCTGGCTCCCCCACACTCATCCTCCCTCCCTGGGCTTTGGCTGCCTTTAATGTTCAATTTTGCCATTTCCACGTGGAGACCAGCAGTGGGGTCCTGGCCTGGCAGGGGATGGGGTGGTGGCAGCACTGGGCATCACTGTTGTCTGCAAGGGGGAGCCTGCAGACAGCAGTGGGGAGGGGAACAGAGTCCTGGTGGGGGTGAAATGTGCATCTCCCAAACTCACCTGCAGTGCTGGGTGGCCTGCAGGGAGGAGAGGGGCTGGGACAGAGGGAAGATGCTCCACTGCCTGCCCAGAGAGGCTGCGGGTGCTGTTGACAAGATGAAATTCCAACTGATACCCTAATCTGGCGCCTGCCTGTTTGCACAGCAGGGTAAAAGTCCAGGGAGCCGTGGGCTGTGCCCTTGGGTCCCTGCCACCCGTGTGTGCACAGGGAGCCGGCGCGGGCGGGAAGAGGCAATAAATGCACCCACACACCCAGGCACCCCTTCCCCCTACACACACACACGCCCCTTGACCGGGTGATGCAATGCATCTGCTCTGCTCCCCCTCCCATGGCCTCCCTGCGCCCTGCATCTGCTCTTTGGGCAGGGATGGGTGAGCCCTGCAGGGCCCTCCCTGTGCCAGGAAAGGGGCTGGTGGGCACCGTGTCCCCACCGGCTTTGCAACCTTTGGTTCAAACCTCCTGGACACGTGTCACCTTGGTGGTTTCAGCCCTGGCAGGTGACAAACACGTGGTTCTAGCACCTGCAGCAGCTGCCTCCCGAGTCACATGGAGCCTGGCCCTTATGGGAACAGCCTGCCCTCCTAGCCAGGGGACCCTGGGGGCTGTCCCCTACAAGTCCCCACAGCTTCTCCCTGCTCCTCCCTCTGCACTTTCCATCAGCTCCCACTGCCCAGCTTTACCCCTCCTTGGAGAAATCTTGAAACCATCATCAAAATAAGGCCCCGCAGAGCAGGTGGCCGAGCAGAGCCATGCTGCAGCAGCCTCCAGCATGGCACAGTCCCAGCAGTGACTAATCAGAGCACCACTGCCTTCCCCATGGCTGCAGCACAGAGCTGGGCACGCTCCCCTCCTGTGCCAGCCGCCTGCTCACCCCTTCCCACCCGGATCTGTGGGGGCTGCCCAGGCTCGGTGGGCAAGGGTGTTTCCCCAGCCTGAGTTCTGGCCTCTCCTTGCCCTCCAGAGTCACAAAGAGCAGGCAGTGCCAGTGGCTGTCAGTGCTGCCCTGGGGTGGAGGATGTGTGCTGTGCTTTGGCCCATGGGAAGGGAAAGGTTTACTTGGTGTCCCAGGGGTGGCTCAGAGGTGGAGTGGGAGAAAACAAAACTTGCTAGGAAAAGCCCTGTGTGTGCTACCTAGTGCCAGCCCCTTGGGGATCAGGGCATGGGGACAGTTGTGCACACCCTTGTGCTCTCCTGGGGTTTTTGGGGTCCCTAGATTGCACTGCTCCTTCTGGCTGTTTCTGCCTCTGCTGTGTGCTGCTCCATGAAGTGCATTTCCTGCCAGCTCCAGGGCAATGCCAGACTTGGTCCAGCCCTGCAATGCTAAGCTGAAACATCCCAGGTCCCTGGGGTGGGACATCTACTCCCTGGTGATCCCAGGCTGTGAAGAGCTGCTGATGCTACCAGAGCAGCACCAGACAAACCAGGAGAGCGAGTTCCAGGTACAGAGCATCCCAGAAGAATTGGGATCAACATGGACATTTCAGGGCACCACCAGCCCTGGGTGTCTCTAATGAAAAATACTGCCCTGGACACAAGAAGATGAGGCCATGAAGTCTGCCCAGGGATGCTGAATGGTTTGGTGGAGATCAGTCCATGCTGGTGATGTGGGGCTGGGACAGCTGTAGCAAGGTGGCACCAGGCTCTCTGATTCAGATTGCACTGGCATGAAAGGCAAACAAAGCATCCCTGGCCTGCATGCAGGCTGAGGTAGGAGCAGTGCTTGATGCAGCCCCTGGCCTGAATGGGCCAGCCCTTCCAGGCTCAGCATTCCCAGCCAGCATCTGGGAGAGGGAGAAGTGGTGGGCAAGTCCAAGGCAGGTAAAAGCAGCCTGAGTGAATTCCCAAAGATACTTTTATTTTTGAGGAAGCTGTGAGTGTGTGAAAAGAGATGTTTGATGGGTTATCTAGTTTTGCTCTTTCCTCTTTTCTCTGGGAAATCCAGGTAAATATTAGCTCTAAAAGACCCATTGTGCAAATGCTGAGCCACTTCATCATGTTGGATTCCTGCAGAAATGTGTCTTTATGCTGAGAATACCTTTCCTTTCAGGGAAAATTTTCAGAAGTGCTTAGAGGGCTGTAGGAGCACAACTGCCATTAAATGTCCTGGTTATTTGCTTTTATATCAGGCAGCCTGGGTTCTCTCTGATCCAGCCCTGTCATTGTCCTCCTCATCCCCACTCACATTAAACCCCAGTAAAGCATCTGGGCAGAAGTCTGGCTCAGGCTGGAGCCTGTAGGGCACTTGCAAGGAAAAGGGACACATGGTGTCAGAGCACTGGGCACAGTCCAGGGGTGAAGTGATGGACAGGTGGATATTATTATAATGGGAAAGAGTTTGGAGCTGTTCTGGTCCCACACTGGCCCTGGAGCATGTGGGGTTGTCCTTTCTTCCATTTCCACCATGGAAGTGGGAGGAGAAGGCACAGACCAGCTCTGCCACCTCACTGGGAATTTGACTGAGTATGAGGGTGAAAAGTCAGCATCTCCCTGAACACTGGGGCTCCAGTATCCCACTGCTGACTCAAACTGGGACATCTGGACCTGGAGATGTGACCTGTGCTCCAGCACTGGGGCCATGATCTGCTGGGCTCAGATGCTCACTCTGGGCACTGCCCAAGGGTTGCTCTTGCCCTCGGTGTGGTGGGATGTGGGACTGGTGGCTGTGGAGCATCCCCTCCCCTGGACTGAGGGCTGGGCTCAGGCAGCATGGGGAGCAGTCCCTTCTCATCTGCTCAAGCTCCAGCTGTGTCCTGCCACAGGAAAGTCATCTCAGAGCCAGACAGGAAGGTGCTGTGAGCTTGTGGCATCTCTGCCATCCCTGCATGGGGTGCTCAGTGACAGAGTGACCCCAAAGTCAGGTCTTTGGGACACCCAGGGACACCTGATGCATTCGTGGTGTGTGTGGGGCAGCAGCCGTTCCCCCTCGCTGCCCGGCTGGGGGCTGAGGTCGCGGAGCCCCCCTTTCCCCGCCAGGAGTGCTTTTGACAGACAGACCTCCCTCGTCCCTCCCTGCTCCGCGCGCAGCCATCCTCCCCTCGAGGCAAACCTTTCCTCCAGCCTCGCTCCTCGCGTCCCGGCTCTCCGCAGCAGGTGCGTGCCCACCCCTCCGTGCCGGCCATCGCTCCCCGCTCCCCCTGCGCCCTCCCCGGCGCCGGAGAGAGCGAGACGCCAAGAGCCGGAGCGGGGAGCGCATAGCAACAGGGTGCAGGATGAAGCAGCTCCGGCAGCAGCATCTCCGCAAGGTGAGAGCCGGCAGCGGGGATGCCCCAGGGATAGGAACAGGGGACCAGGGTATCCCCGGCAGGGGACAGCCGGGAGCGAGGGTACCCCAGGGCTGGGAAGGAAGCGGGGATAACCCCGGGCTGGGAGCGGGGGAGCCGTGCCCATGGCCCCGCATCCCGTCCCCGGGAGCCTTGGTGGGCAGCCGGCAGGGATCGGGGGGATGATGGGGAATAGCGTTTGGTGCGCGGGGGAGATGGTGGGCAGCGGGACGGGGCATTCCGTGCCCACTGCCCCTCCTGAGCTGCCCTCCCTGCCCTGCCCTGCCCTCCCTGCCCTGCCCTGCCAGCAGGCGCTGCCGGCCGTGGGTGACTCATGTTGTGTCTGCCGGGCGCCGTGGGTGGCAGCGGGGCAGAGCTGGCTCCCCGCAGCCGGGCACCCCGGGAACGACGCTCCCGGGACTGCCCGGGCTCGGGGTCCCTCCCGCGGGATGAGCGCAGGGGCTGGGCAGCGCCTTTCCCACCTCATCCTCCTCCTCATCCTCCTCATCAGCATTTAAAGGGGTGTGGGTGACGTGGGGTCAGCTGGACGCTGAACTCTGGGTTCAGAGCAGAGCTGGCAGAGCTACAAACCCTTTTCACATCCTGCTGGAACCCCTTTTTTAACCCATCCTAGACTTTCCCATCCTAGACTCCCCTCCATTGCCACTTTGCTCTTGCCAGTCTGAGCTCCCATTTCCCCCCAAGTCCTTTCTCTGGGGACACGGTGGAGCAGGGGGGCAGAGATGGTGTCAGCCACAGCTCCATCGTGGGGATGTGCTGCTGCTGAGTGGGCCAGCCCTTCCTGGAGCACCCCAGGCAGTGACCCAGGGCTGAGAGCCTCTTCAGCTACACCCTGTGCCAAACCATGCCCACTGAACACAGGGCAGGTTGGCTCTGTTGCGATGAATGAAAACCCAGGAGAGTTTTATCCCTGCCAGGAAATTCCTTGGGTATTGGGAAATGACATAAAAACCCCAGCAATGTCCTAGTGACAGCCAGCAGGCCCTGACAGCCTATTTCTCCACTCTTGTTTGGAGGCATTGTTTGGCTCTTCTCTTTCTTCCTCTTTCCTAAAAATTGCTTTTCCAGATGGCTTTGTGACTGCAAGTCACAAAGTGGTTAAAAGTGGTCTTTGCCCCTCCAATGCCTTTCTGAGTCACTTGATGCTGGTGACCCTCTTTAGCATTTATTCAGGAATTCATTTAGTCCCATGGTGATCAGCTGGGATGGAAAGCAGATGTCTCTGGAGTTTTCCCCATTCCCAGTGCTGCTCAGAGGCCTCTGTCCTTCATTACCCAAAAATACTATTGCTGAGCTGTAGATGGAGGACCTGGTGCTCACAGCCACCTTGGGAGCCCTGTGTTCAATGCTGGCATTGGGCTTGCCTGGAGCTGGTGGTGGCTGATGAGGAGATGTGCCCATCCCCACTGCAGCACCACCCAGGACCCTGACAGCCTCCTCTTCCTCTCATTGTCATCCACTTCCCATTGGTGAGCTGGAGTTTTAAGCTCTTCTTGGCAGACATATTTTAGACATATGGAAACACCTCTTGATTAGAGAAGACCTTTCTCAGGCTCTAAGAATTTCAGGTTGGTTTTTGCATAATAGTATTCCCAGAAGAGCTGAGTGGTTGTTTTCATTTATTTGATTATTTTCTTTGGGGTTTATTTGGTAGAAATGGACTAAATCCCACTGGTGGGGGCCATGGTGCTGGCTGTCCCTTCCCACACCTGGCCAGGCTGCTGAGCAGCATCTTCCTACCTGAGCCACTGCTCTCCTCTGCCTGCCACAAACTGCCTCGAAACTTCCCCAGGGTTTCAGATGAAAATCCACAAACATTTGTATGTGTGCATACTCCCTACACTTTGGACATTGCTGTAATGAGTTTGCTTCAGCCTCAGCCATCTCCAACCTCCCTGTGCTGGCTCTGATGGCATCAGCTGTGACCCCAGGCTGGGGTCACCCAGGGTCAGCTCAGCCCTTTTCAGGGGCTCTTCCTCACCATAGCAGTGCTTTATTTACTTCCCTTTGTAAGTGATATTACATTTGAATTAATTTTTATGCCTTTTTAAGATTTCTTCTCTCAGAGATTAGCAAGCAATTCAAACTAATCTGAAGTGACTCACACTTTAGAGACTCACTGTGCTCAGATCCGCAGGGGAGAAATCTGGTGCTGGGTGGCATTTCTCTTGCTCAAAGGCTGTGATCACGCACAAAACACTGACAAAATAACCCCACAATGCCAGCTTGAATGGAGACAAAATAGGATGAAAACATACCTTTGATCTGGCTGGAGTTTTTTCACTCAGATACAGCTGTTTTGGTTTAAGTAAATTGGTTTAGAGAAAATAATTAGCACAGAGCCATTTCCTTACAGACCCGAGCTCTTTTCTTGGCAGAGACTAAAGTGCTTTTTCTTCTCAGTGACCTTTGCTTTGCTGACTTCTTTGGGAGCATCTTTTGGTGAATAATGGGAAGTGATGCTGTGTTCAAAGAGGCCCTGGTTGCCAAGGGAGCTGTTGGTCCAGTCTGTTTATAACTGCGAGACGGGAGCCCGGCTTGAAGGATGGCAGCTGACATCAGTGGAAAGCACTAGAGCAATACTGGAGCACTGGTGCACTTCAGCTGCTGCTGAAAAGAGAATTTCTGTTATGACAGAGGCTGAAAGAGAGCATTGATCCTAAAAAAACAGCTCTAGAATCAAGCTGGTGTGTGAGATCTCCAGCAGTCAGGAGAAGGGAGCTGTGCTTCCCTCTGCGATTTGGGACAAGGATGGGCTGGAAGCCTTAAATATTGGGCTTTGTAATTCATTTCAAGTCAGGCAAATAGGCCAGTTTTTCTGTGACTTCTACGGAAAGGCTGGGATTTGGGGGAATTTTGAGCATTGCTTTTGTGTGTGTTTTCCAGCAGCATCCCTGACCTGTATCTCCTCAGCTTGCCCAATAGGGACAAGTGTCATTGTCCTTTGGGTTTATCTGACACTTGAGTGGTCTCTGCTTTCTGCTCGGGGGTCCTCAATTTGAGCTGTAAAGCTCTAGATAAAGATATTAACAAGTGAGGCAGTCATTTTTGAGACACAAGTGACAAACTACATCCCATGGCCCTTGAAATGGGGACTGAGGTGGGGACCAGGCCATTCACAATTTGGACAAGACCCCATTGGATCCTTTCATTTCCTGTTGTTGCTTCTGTGTTGATTTCTGTGCTACACCTCATGGACAGGCACCCACCTGTAATGAAATCGTGCAGCTCTACCTGTGCCCTCCTGCAGCTGTTTGGGATTCAGACAGAGATGCAGGAATTAGGCAACAGCATTTAATGATCTCCCAGCACCCCTGCTTGCTGGTTTTCTGTGATTCAAATCTGGAAAACAAGAGCTCCCCAGGCAGTGTGATGGACAGGGAAGCAGCATTTTGCAGGGGGAAGATCTGTGCCAGGAAGACCCAGCCAGCTGTGATGGCCCCTACCTGGCAGGGATGTTTGTGAGTACAGCTTTGAGCTGCTGAAATCTTTTGGGGGGAGTTCAGAGCAGCTTGTGCATCCCCTGCAAGCACACTCTGAGTGTGCTGGGCTCATTAGCAGGCACAGCCATGGCCTGGAGGTGCTGCTGAACCACAGAGCTGGGTTGAACAACTGCAGGAGGCTGCCAGGTACTGATGGTTTTATAGCAATAGTATTACATTTGGGTCATATTTTGACTTTTCAGCTTGTGTTTTTGCAACTTTTTCTTCTGACCTTTGCCTTGTGATGGTGGCATCCAGCAGGGATAGGCTTTTCACAGAGGATTTTGGTGTAACAGCTTTGCTGGAGCTGTACATTTCAGTGCTTGCCCTTGTCCTGTCCCTCGAGGTGTTTGTGCTCCAGGTGGGGATGGGGAGGCGTTTGCCTCTGTGTTTGGTGCCTCTGGGCTGCAAGCAGCATGTCTGCAGTGCCAGCAGCTGGGGTTTGGGGTGCACCCTGCACGGGGGGGGAGCTGGCATCCCTCTCCTTCAGCATCCTGGCTCGGTGTCTCCATGGGAACCAGCAGCAGGAGCATCCTCCAGTCCAGTCCAGTCCAGCTGGAGACAGGGAGGAGGAGGAGGAGGAGAGGAGATGGCTGCCACTTTCTCTGAAGCCCTGAAAGGGCAGCACTGAGCTCTGGTCACCAGCCAGCTCTGGCCTCCTGGGCAGTGGGGTCTGCTGCAGGCTCTGAGCACTGGTGCCCACTGTACAGGAGACCCACAGCTCCTTCTGACTGATCCTCCACACCCAGATCCCTCTCCTCAACCACCTCCCAAGGGTTTGTTCTCTATGATTATGAACAAGGACAGGGAGATGGCTGCTTTATTTCTTCAGAGAGCCCAAGAAGAGAAGGTTCCCAAAGGGGCTCCTCTGGCCCTGGTGCTGGTACCTTGTCAGCAGGGACACCAGAATGCTCCTGTGCCTCAATACAAACATGATAAACGCCCACACCAGGGCACAGCAATGCATGGTGGCACAGGGACAGGATCCTCATACCACCCCTTTGTGCTGCCTGGTTTTGCTGTGGGTGTATCTGTGATGGGATCTCATCTGGCAGCTGCTGGCTCAGGCTTTCAGCTCTGGAGTCAGCGGGGATGCTTTCCCTGCTCTCCTGAGGTCAGGAAACTGGGGGAATTCAGACTGAGCAGCTCCCTGCAAACCTGATGTACACCCATACACACACAGAGCTGCCCTCCTGGTGCATCACCCCAACCCAAATGGATTGCAGGACTCACACTCCCACTTGCAGGGCTGAGGCAGTGGGGAGGAAGGGAATGGGTTAATGCCCTGCCTGTGCTGCATTGATCCAGAGCACGTTAGGAATTCTGGAAGGAGGTCTCTCATCTCTCAGCAGGGACAACTGGGAGTATCACTAAATTCCCACAGTGCAGGCCTTGGGCAGTTGGAAAAGTGTGAAAATGCACGGAGCAATGAGTGGCAGCCAGCTGAGTGCCTGGCATGGCACACACATGGGCTGGTGTCACACTCCCTGGCACACCACAGAGCTTCTCCTGCTGCCCTCATGCCTGTATCCTGCAGGAGATGCAGAAAGTTTGTTGTGGCCCCCTGAAAGATGTGTTTGGAACATGGGGTTGTGAGTTGGGTCCTGGTGAACCTTCCCAGAATGGACAATCCCACGTTTCCCAGGGGAGCTCTGGCCATGTGGGATCACATTTATCCTTTTTGTTGCTCAGTGGCAGAGCAGGGCAGTGGCTGAGGTGGGGAACAGGGAGCTGCTGGGACAGGGTGTTCCCAAGGCAGAGTGTCAGTGCTGTCAAGGCTTGGGGTCACAAATTCACTCACGAGTTCCTGGCACTTCTTCCCTCTCTCCCATTCTTCATTCTCTGTTTTTATTCCTTGCTCAACCCCTGTGTGCCCTCTCCCACACCCTGACCCCTCACTCAGCCAGTGACACCAGATCTCCTGGTGAGCCCCAGCAGCCAGGATGGGGACCTGGGCTCGGAGTGCCCAGAGGACAGAGGGAACTGGACGGGGCGCCTGGATTTCCTGCTCTCCTGCATCGGATACTGCGTGGGCCTTGGAAACGTCTGGAGGTTCCCCTACAGGGCTTACACCAATGGAGGAGGTACTTGGGCATCCTTTGCAGTGGTCAGTCTCCCACCCACTGACCTGGGCTGGTAGAATATCCCTGAAGAAGCATCCCCTCCCCTTCCTGGTGCTGGAAAGTAGCACTGGTTGCGGGGTGAAGCCTCCTCCTGCACTTCCCATGGTGGTTTAGGGCTTTACCCACCTGTATCCATGTGTGGAAGCGATTTGTGAGCCCATCTCTGTATTCCTGGCCTTGGACAAACCCGTGTCCACGCTGAACAAAACACCATCTCTCCTGGAAGGAGTGAACCTTTTGCAAGAGCCCTGGGTGACAGTGGAAAATGCTGGTTCAACTCCTCCCAGAGCAGTAACAACTGGAGAATTTCAGGGTGTTTGTGAAAGATTCAAAGAGAAAAGAGGGTTGGGAGCCGTGGGGAAGCACAGCACCAGGTGAATCACAGCCCTTTTCTCCTACACTAACAGTGAGCTTTTGCTCTTCCCTGTCTTCCTGATTTTGATGTAGATCCCTCAGAGCCACACATACTGAATGAACTGTCACAGTTAGGCTTTAGGTGTTTGTTCTGTATTACTTTCAAGATTTTTTTATTATTATTATTTTTTGCTTCTTGCAGGAGCTTTCTTAGTTCCTTACTTCATCATGCTGGCTATCTGTGGGATCCCCATCTTCTTCATGGAGCTGTCACTTGGCCAGTTCTCCAGCCTAGGGCCGCTTGCAGTGTGGAAGATCAGCCCTCTCTTTAAAGGTGCGTGAGTGAAGTCCAGAGCCTGTGAGGGACCTCTGCCAGAGCTCTTTGATGAGGACATGCACCAGCAACAGCATCCCATGGTCCTCAAAGCTCTTGTTAGAATCAAAAGTACCTGGGGGAAGGTGTGGCAGGCTGGAATTTTGAGTTAGGCATTTTAGTAGCTGCATAGATTGGTCAGTGTTTGAGAGCTCTGGATGGCATGGCCAGCTCTAGAAATGGTATGAAGATTATTAAACCAGCTCTGGTACAAAATAGAGCATGAAAACAAAGCAATATGCCTGTTAAAAGCAAAGGTAAGAATAAAGCATTTGAAAAAAACTTCAGATCAAATACTTTTATTCTCAACATTAGGCTGGTGTAAAAGTTTTTGTATGAGGCAATAGATCATCAATACAGAGAAGGCACGTCCAGATGTTATAATGGCAATAAGTGGCTCCCCCAGCAGGTGAACCTTGGACTGGTTGATCATTTGGCTGCTGAAGTGCAGTGTCTGACCCTTCTTTTGGATGTGCTTTGCTCTGCTCCAGCTCACTCCTTCTTTACCCTCTCCTTCCCCCAGGCGTTGGCATGGGCACGATCCTCATCGTCTCCCTGGTGGCCATTTACTACAATATGATCATTGCTTACGTTCTCTTCTACCTCTTTGCATCCCTCACAAGCGACTTGCCCTGGCAGCACTGTGGCAACTGGTGGAACACTGACCTGTGCCTGGACCACCACGTCATCAGGGCGGGGAACAGCTCCCTCCCCATCAACATCAGCAACACCGTCAGCCCCAGCGAGGAGTACTGGAGGTAACGGGGGCAGCCTGGGGGTGTGGCTGGTGTCCAGCCAGGGAGAGGATGGGGAGGGAATGAGGGGTGAGGATTTGCACAGCTCACAGCACAGATGCTGCAGGTCTCACTCATGGGGGTGGTGTGGGTGCAGCAATGGGCTCGTGTGCTCAGCTCTGGGTGACAGCTCAGTTTAGCCACTGGCATGTGGGAGGTGTCCATGTTCTAGTGCTGCTTTGTTGGCTGGGAGATATGCTAGACTAAAATGCATCCCACGTCTGGAATGGCTGGCAATTTGCTCCGGAGATGCCAGGCATCCCTTCTGGGCTCTCTAATACGTGGTGGAGAAATCACTCCAAGTGTTCCCATTTGCTTGGCAAGGAGCTGCCTATGATAGCTGACAAGGTCATTTTGCAGCAGAGGCATTTCTGGGGTCAGAGGGCCTCTGGAAGGAGGCAGGCCATGCTCACCAGCAGCTCTCCTTCCTCCCTAGCCGGTATGTCCTGCACATCCAGGGAAGCTCGGGGATTGGGGATCCTGGGAGGATCCGCTGGAACTTGTGTCTGTGCCTGCTCCTGTCTTGGACTATTGTTTATCTGTGCATCCTTAAGGGAGTCAAATCCTCTGGCAAGGTAAGGGCTGGCTGCTCTCCTCTGGGGGGGACCTGCAGCGATGCTCACGGGGTGTGCAGCTCTGCACCTCTGGGGACCCACAAACAGCATCCGCTGGGTGCCAGGTACTGTGGGGATGCCTTGCACACCCAGACACCAGCAGGGCTGGCACACCGGCCCTGCCACAGCCCAAGGACCCCAGGGTGATGTGTCCCACCCTAGGGACAGGGTGTAGGGCTGTGCTCTCATTCCCAGCTCTCCCTGCTGGCTCTGCTCTCCCACAGGTCGTGTACTTCACTGCCACCTTCCCATACCTCATCCTGGTGATGCTGCTCATTCGTGGTGTGACCCTGGAGGGGGCCTGGAAGGGGATCCAGTTTTACCTCACACCCCAGTTTGATCACTTGCTATCTTCCAAGGTGAGTAGGATATTGTGCAATTTGCTCAAGACACAAAACTGAAACTTCTCCTGCCACCTCCTGAATGCCACAGAGGCAGTTCCCTCACTCAGGTGTCTTTTCTGGCCACACCCTAACCTAAAGCTCTCTTGGTTGCTTCCAGACCAAAAATCCTTGTCCCACACCTGGTCTGGGCCACTATTTCCATGTGTCCCCACCCTCTGCATGTGTTTATGGCTCTGCATGGATGGGATGGTACCAAAATTCCCCTGAGTACCAGGACCATGGGCAGGATCATCCCAGCCCCTGTGATGGGCTGATGGATGCCTGTGGTGGATTTGGCTGTTTGTGGTTCTCAAGAAATCCCCCCATGAGTGGGGGTCAGCAATGGTGGTCATCAAGAGACCACCCAAGGGCATTTAATGCCACACTGGGCTGGCCCTAAAACATTCTTATTAGCCCTTCCATTAGCCAGCTGATCCCCTATGAGTGGTGAGTGTTAACAAGGAAAGACAAATATCCCATAGGCTGTGCATGCTTGGAGTGCTGGGGAAGATGTGCCCAGGGCTCTGGGGAAGCAGATTTCTAATGTCATCTTCCTCATGTGGAGGATCCCAAACCCCTGCTCTCCTCAGAACTGCTTCCTTCCCCCAGGTGTGGATCGAGGCAGCCCTGCAGATTTTCTACTCCCTTGGGGTGGGCTTTGGGGGCCTCCTCACCTTCGCCTCGTACAACACCTTCCATCAGAATATCTACAGGTGGGAGTCTGCTGCTGTCTTGTAAAAATTATGGGTTGTGGGGAGCTGTGAAAACCTGAGCTGGTGGGTTCAAAGCCGGCAGAAGCTCATGGTGCAGCACAGCACCTTGCTCTGCTCCTTGCACTGAGGGCATACCTGGCAGTTTGTGCAGGGCTTGAGAAGAACACAGGGATCCATGGGAAAAAATTCTCCTAAGCACCAAGGCAGAACACCCAGCTCAGATGTTTTGGGCTGTAGGTGCTGAAAGCTGGGGATATTTGAGGCTGGAGTTGTGCATGTGCCCAGCATCCAGCGTAGTTCACTGAAAGAGACACATTGGATGTTTTTTCTGACCCCATCCACAGGGGACAGAGAGATTTAGAGGAGTCCGACAGTATTATCCATTAAATACATGCTCCTTTTGACCCTGGGAAGCACTTGCCATCAGAGGCACTGAAGGACAGTCACAGGGTCACCCTACTGTGGCACCTGGGGCTGGCAATGCCACCATGCACTGGTGTGGGAAGGAATGAGCATGTTCAGAGCATCTTCCTCCTTCTCTGTAGGGACACCTTCATAGTGACCCTGGGCAATGCCATCACCAGCATCCTGGCAGGGTTTGCCATCTTCTCTGTTTTGGGATACATGTCCCAGGAGCTTGGGGTCCCTGTTAACCAGGTGGCAAAAGCAGGTGAGGTCAAACAAAGATGTTTTCCCCTTCTCCCTCTCTCTGGGTGTGCTCAGGAGCATCCCTTCCAGGATGGAAGGCACCTGAGGGTGTCAGCCTGAGGGATGAAGGTGGATGCTCAGCTGGCCAGGGGGAGGGAAAGAGGCAGATAAGTTCCTGTGGTGTAAATATTGAGTAACAAGTGTTGTCTAATGAAGGTGTGAGCAAGGCTCAGGCTGTTTCTCCACCCTCTGCCACAGGACCCTTCCTGCCCATCTTGCCAAAGTCCTGGCAAGTCTGTGCCATGGTGCTGCTCTGCTGAGCTCTCCTCTCCTCCATCCCCCCCATGCCCAGCTCTGTCACCACCTTTTCACCCTGCTGTCCTTTGCCTCCCCTAGGTCCTGGCCTGGCCTTTGTGGTGTACCCTCAGGCCATGACAATGCTCCCCCTTTCTCCATTCTGGTCATTCCTGTTCTTCTTCATGCTGTTAACCTTGGGCCTGGACAGCCAGGTAAGGACAGAGCCCACGGAGCCAGGCGTGCACTCCAGGCAGCCTGAGGGCTCAGGGGACCCTCTCCTCCTGCAGTTTGCATTCATGGAGACCATTGTCACAGCAGTGACTGATGAGTTCCCCTACTACCTGCGGCCAAAGAAAGCTTCCTTCTCTGCCATCATCTGCATCGCCCTCTTCCTCATGGGGCTCATCCTCACAACAGAGGTATGGCTCTGGGGTGGATCCATTGTGGGGCAAACTAGGGACTCGTTTTAGGGAGAATTTAGGTCAGGAGCCAAGTTTTCTCATGTATATTCATATCAGGTAAGCAGGTGAAGGAGAGAGATGAGCCTGGGCTTCCAGAAGGTGGGAGGGTCAAGGGGAGTGGCACAGTGTCATTGCCATCCCTACACCAACCCCATCAGGAGACTGATGTCTCTTGAGGCTGCTGACTGCTGTCCTCCCCAGGGTCCCCAGAAGTCAGAGGACATGGGTGGAGGTTTGTTGGGATGATGGTCCAGGAGATGCTGGCCTCTGTGCTTTGTCTCCACAGGGTGGGATGTACTGGCTGGTCCTGCTGGATGACTACAGTGCTGGCTTTGGTCTCATGGTGGTGGTGATCACCACCTGCCTTGTGGTGACACGTGTCTATGGTAAGGCTGCCTGTCCCCACAGGGGCACAGGGAAGGGTGTGCTGCCTGTCTAAAGAGAGGGACTTAGAGGGAGCAGTAGGGAAACCAACAGCCTCACAGTGGAGCATGAGACTCTGCTTCCATCACCTGTTTGTTCTTGGCTGTTACCTGATTCACCTCTCCAAAGGTACAAGTGGTGCTGAGCCTGGTCCTTCAGGCAGCACCAGCTGGGCCCCCCTCCTGCATCTCCCAGATGGGCGGGGGGAGTCTGCCTTAGAGGGTACAAACCACTGCTGGTGATCAGTGCAGGGCAGCCTGGTACAGGCACAAGGCTCTGGGGGAGGGATCAAAGCTCCTGAGTCCCTCTCCCTCCCGCAGGCATGAAGAGGTTCTGCCGGGATATCCACATGATGCTGGGATTCAAACCAGGCCCGTACTTCAGAGCTTGCTGGATGGTCCTGTCCCCAGCAACGATGATGGTAAACTGCTCAGCTTGAGCTGCTGGATGGTGCTGGAACACCATGGTGCTGCCAGTGGCCCTGGGGGACCTCCCAGGGTGATAAGTTGGCATCTCCTGCCCCAGAGACCATCCTTCTTCTGGGAGGTGTCCATCATCTCCATCTCTTTTTTTGAGCATGAGACCTCTGGGATGATCTCACTTTCTTCCCATCCCACAGGCTCTGCTGGTGTATAACATTGTCAAGTACCAGCCTTCTGAGTATGGCAACTACCAATTCCCCACGTGGGCAGAGGCCCTGGGCATCCTCATGGGAGTGCTCTCCTGCCTGATGATTCCCATGGGCATGGTGGTGGCTGTGCTCCAGGAAGAAGGGACGCTGTGGGAGGTAGGAGGTACTGGGGCCTGACACTGCTGGGGAGCACCCCAGAAACGTGCAGCAGGGAGCACAAGCCCCTGCCACGTCAGAATCCCTGGAAGTTTCTGTATCCTCTCTCCTGGGGGTGTGTGTCCCCATTCCCCCTTGCTGCCCATGGGGTGTGAGACATGGCACATCCCAAAGCATTTCCAGCAGTGCTGCTTCCCTTGATGCCAGGCAGGTACTGAGTAAAATAGCTGCCCAAGGGGCAGCCCAGTGTGCACTACCACTCCAAAACAAGCCTGCTGTGCCTTGTGAGAGAGCACATTGTCCCCAGCGTGGGGTGGCCATGGGCACCTGGGACTTTGCACCCGCTTGGCACAAGCAATGACACAGCAAGGCAAGCAGCTGCCAGACTGTGCAGGCAGCCCAGATGGGATCCCTGCCCTGAAAGGCTTCTCCCAGGAGCAGGTTACAGAGCTGCTGGCTGCTCACAGCTTTCCCAGCCCTTCACTGCTCTCGCCAGGCTGTTAAAAGCAGAGGAGCAGAGCTTGATGCCCTCCCCAGGAGCACTTGCTGGCTGTAACCTGGCTGACACAGCATGGGCACTGTGGCACGGCCAGGAGCCACCTTGGCCAAGGCTAACCCCTTGTCTGAGTGGCTCTAACCCCACAGCACAGGGCTGTAGCCCTACAATAGCCCCTCACTCCTGCAAGCCCTCGCCACCAGCACCCACAGCTCATGACACCTCCCCATCCCACAGCAAGACACTTAGACAGAACCACCTTCCCAAAAGGTTTTGGGACAAGCTTTTGACCCCATCCCCTCCTCACTGGTTCTGTCAGTCCCTGGGGGCCAGCAGGGCCCTGGGAGGGGTGGGTGAGCTGGGGCTGGGGAGCAGAGGGTGCAGGTGCTCCTCTGCCTTCCCTCACAGCGGGTGCAGCAGGCCAGCCGGCCGGCCATGGGCTGGGGCCCGGCCCTGGAGGAGAACCGCAGCGGCGCCTACGTGGCCAGCCTGGCTGGCAGCCAGTCCCCCAAACCCCTGATGGTCCACATGAGGAAATACGGGGGCATCACCAGCTACGAGAACACGGCCATCGAGGTGGACCGGGAGATGGAGGAGGAGGACGAGGAGGAGTCCATGATTTGAGGGCGCCCAGCATCCCGCAGGCTGGGTGGGAGCTCGCCTCCCATTTTGCACAGGTTGCACTGCAGCACTTCAGGACAGCTTGGGGGGGTCCTTCAAGGAGTAGTCAGGAGCTGCTGGCCCTGCCAGGTTCCCCATCACCACCCTGGCCCTGCCAGGACAGAGCTGCTGCCTGTCCTGGTGGCCCTGCTGTGTTTCTGTTCAGTGTGACAAACTGTGTGATGAGTCCATGTGTTTGTGTGACAGTGTCTGGTTGAAGTGTCACGGCTGTCCCACTCCCACCCGCAGCCCCAGCCCTGCTGTCCCCTCTCAGGGTTGCCCAGGGTGGAGGGATGTCCAGCTGCAGGAGGTGGGGAGGAGGAGAAGGAGCTCCTGTGTATTGATCTGTTCTCTGTCTGTCTGTATTTGACTCCAATAACCCATAAACACATGTGAGAGAATCTGTAACAGCCTCCATGCCCAGAGGACAACTTGTGCCAGAGTGCTCTGATCCCACAGAGGTATTTCAGCAAAACCAGCACAAATCAGTGTCCTCCTAAAGCAATTTGACCTAATAAATGAGCAGTTATAAACAAGCAGAAGAATAAAAGAAAAGGCTTTATAAACAAACCAGGCTCTATAACCCCCAAGGACCTTGGTGGCTCAGGGTGGCTCTTCCCTGTGGTGTCTGGGAAGGTTGGGGTGATTTGAAGGGAGAGCAGAGATGGTGTAACCTGTCCCTCATGTGTGCAGGGGGTCAGGGACAGGTTTCAGCTGGACCTGTGTCTATTGCCAAGGGAGATCCGAGGTGTGGCCCCAGCCCTGAGTGCTGCCTTTCCCAGGGAGAGGAGAAGGGCTGGGTTTCAGTGCCTGTGTGTGATGTGGGGTAGATCAGCCCATGTCCCACCTCCTGCTGACACTGCTGGCCTGAGGGCCTTGGTAACCTCCTGGATGAGGCTGTTTGGACCTGGTGCTGCCAGTGCCCATCATCCCAGTGTCATGTGTGCCTTGTGCCATGTGCCATCAGCTCACTTGTAGCTGTGTGACACAGCCCCTGCCTGGGTTATTTGGGGAGGTGTTCAGCATGGAAGAAAGGCACATCCAGAGGAGCTTCCAGGGCTTCCCATACACATCTGGAGGGGCACAGCTCCTCCTGGTCTTTTTTCTGCAAATCTTTTTCCTGGTAAAAGACAAAAGTGTAGGACAAAGAGAAAAATGAGTGTCTGTGTCAGGATTGTGGATGTGCTCCTGGTGCACTGGGTCCAGCACTGACCTCCAGGATGAATTCTGTCAGGAGGCTGCAGTCTTCTTTCCCTACAGTATAGGAGATTTAATTATTGCCTTTGCCCCTCCAAGAGCGTAGGATCAGCTCCTACAGCTCCTCCTGCCTGCTCACCTCCTCTTGTCCAGGGATGCTGAGCTCATTTCCAGATGGCTGTGCCTTTCCTTTCTCCTGCAGGACCCCTGGTGGCTTTCCCCATACTCCCCACGGCTGCAGCCCATGGGGGTCCCCCAGCTCCAGCTGCCCCAGCTCTGTGGGGCTCTGGCAGCACAGTCATGGAGCACCTTGGGCTGCTGGCCCTGGGTTAATCATTAGATCCCAGCCATAAAAGTGTGGCTGATGGAAAGCCCAGGCCATGGTGGCTGGGGAGCAGGGAGGGCCTACCATAAACATTTATGGCCCCAATGAATGCCTTGCTCTAACCTTGACACTATTTACTGAGCAGGAGGCCTCTGCCGGTCACGGTGCTGCCCAGCCATCGCTGTGGGTGCCGGCCAGGGAGCCCGGGCTGGGCTGGCCCCTGGAGGGGCACACACAGGGGTCTCTGTGGGTGGTGGACTCCAGGGTTTCATGATGGCACTCCTGGTCACAAAGCACCAGAAGAAGCAGGAGAACCTGATGCCTTCCCACAGCATGAAGCTGCTCTGGGCTCACCAAATGGTCCAGGCTCTGATGTTTCTCAGCTTTTCCTACCTGCATGGGGTCCTACCATATTCCCCAGAGCCCCACAGCAATCCTGGGATCCTCAGGGCTCTCCTTTGGTAGCTGCCATCACCCAGCACTGTGCTGCAGACAATAGGAGGGATGGAGCTGAGGCTGTGCCAGGATGTGGCTGGGAGGCAAAGCTGGCACTGAGGAAGGACACCAAGGGCAAAAGGCAGTGGGGCAGTGGCACATCCAGAGGACACGTGTCCTGTGCCATGCATGGCTGCCCAGGGCTGGGGGGGACGCAGCAAAGCGAACATTCCAGTGCTGACACCTGCTGGGGCAGATGGCAGGGACAGGGGGCAAAGGGGCACCCCTTTGGGCTGGGCCTGGCGTGGAGCAGGAACAGGGAATGTGGCAGCCTGACTCCAGTCCCCCTGAGGTACCAGCCCACCTGCACGAGCAAAGCCCAGCAGCTGCCCCTGGGAGCTCCCCAAACCCTCCCTGGACTTAGCTGGAGGTCCTGTGCCCCTCACCCTGTAGCACAAGGTTCCTCTAAACTCCCCCAAACCTCCCAGTGGGCACCCCCACCCCCATTTAGCTTGAGCACCTGCTGGGGCCTCCCAGACCCCAGCAGCACCCAAAGGGAAAAGGGCTGGAGGCAATGAGCTGGGTCTGGGCAGCACCCTGAGCTCCCTGAAACCCCAGAGATGCTGGAGACCAGGGGTGGGCAGTGTCCAGAGCACCAGCACCCTGCAGGCAGCAGGATACCTGCAGCTCCTGCCCAAGGCCTGCTCTCAGCCCTGATGCTTTCGAGGACAGGAGTGCGGTGACGGAGGGACAGGGGGTGGCAGACGGTCTGAGTCACTGCAGTGACGGAGAATCATCCGTTTCCATGCTCAGAAGTTGGTAGCTATTTATTGCACTTGAACACCAAGAATAAAACTGACACTCGCCCTCCCTCCCACACCCACCCCCACCCCGCTCCCCGTCCCTCCCCAAACAGAGCATCCGATTTGAGCAGTGATCATTCTGTTCACAGCCGCAGGTTCAGAAAAGACAAAGGAAAAGGAAACAAAAACATCCTCCCCCACACCCCCCCCCCCCGCCCCAAGTTCCCACTGAATCCAACACGGTCACACTGCTCAACAGTTCGAGTGAACTTACAAAAAGAGAAGAGAAAGGCTTCAGCTGCAACCGTACGGACAAACAGACACGAGGGGACAGGCAGCTACCCCTCCCCGGGGCTTGATTTTTTGTTACGTGACAAAGCTCGGTATACTCTTAATTATAATATATTTTTTGCAATCATCTTAAATAAATATTTCCATAGAGATTTCCTGTAAGTATATATATTTTTTTATATATATATAATATATAAGAGAGAGAGATAGATTTCATTTTCTTTCCTTAAACCACTGTTAACATATTTTCCCTGCTTGTCCAAAAAATGTTACAAAAGCCCTAAAATTGTGCAACAATTAGAAAAAAGGGACAACAATCCAAAGAAGGAAGGAGCCACTCGATACAGTCCCCTCCACTGCTCCCTCTCTCCCACTCCCTGTTGATGACCTGCAGGAGGGAAGGAGATTCAGATGCATCTGGTGGCAGAGTGGCCACCAGCCCCTGCTCTGGTGTCCCCACAGCCTCCTCATATCTAGGTTTCCCTGTCTGATATGGACAGGACCTGCACCTTGGGACACGGGCAAGGTCTCTACTGGCTGGAGGACCTGTGCAGCATCAAGAGGAGGGGTACACCACAACCCATCCTGTGGTGGGGAAGAAGGGTCAGTCTGTCTCCTGGGGTGATCAGAGGATGTGATCTCCTGCTGGCAGACACTCTTGGTCCATGGGGCTGTGTGGCTGCCCCTCACACACAGCCCTGCAATCCCACCATGGGCTGCAGAGCCCACCGGGAGCTCCAGGTGGGAGGAGATGACTGCTGCCTGCTCCAGCTTCTGGAGATCCATGGGGCATCCATGGGAGGAGAGGCAGGTTGGGGGTCAGACAAGGATTTGGTGCCTGGCAGAAGGGGCATTTCATGCAGGATTGGGGAGGAAAGACAACTCTCCCAGCAGTGTCTGGCTGGGGTGAGGAGGAGGGTGCCTGCTCCTCCAGCAAAGAGCAGAGGCCTCTTTGTCTTCCAGAGGGGATGCATCAGCAAGATGTGAGAAATGATGATGTTGCCAGTGGACCTTGGCAGCCAGGAAGGGAAAACAGGCAGCTCCCAAACCCACCTGTGGAGCTGGGAGCTCAACACCACTACAGCAAGTGCCTCCAGTTAGACATCCCTGCGGTCTGGGAGAGGAGGAAGAGAGGATGAGTTTGGAGGACTTCCGAGTTTGGTTTGACCCAGGCACCAGGAGACCAGAGGAGAGGAGTTCTGTCTGTGCCAGGAAATTAAATGTGCCATAGCCTGATCTCCAGCCTTGAGGATGATGGGACAGGAGGTCCATGGTGGTAAACTCCATCCCAACAAGGTGGCCCTGTCCATGTTGGTTATTAGGAACATCCCTGGACGTTGTCATTCCCAGAACCATGGTGGGGTTGTTGGGGCGATGCCCGTTTGCATGTGTCAGGGACAGTGTCAACAGCTTAAAAGTAGAGATGTAACAGCAGCATCCCTGGCTCTTCCAGCCAAAGAAGGATGGTGGAAACTTATTTATATAGCTTTCCTGCAAGTTTAGGAGAAATCAGCAAATGGGAAGGAAGACAGAAACAGATGCTTTCCATGGATACTGAAAGAAAAGGTGGAGGTCCATCAGTGCTTGCTGAGATGCTCTGGAGATACAGGAACCCGCTCTGGAGAAGCAGGGCAAGGTGGGGCAGAGACACCAGGCAGGACAGACCCCTAAAGTGCAGGTGCTTAATGCTGCCAGCGTGGGCATGTTGGAAAGTTGAGTCTTCCTTGGTCAGGCTGCAGCTTGACTGGAAGACTAGAATGAGTTTAAACTTCAGACTCTGCTTCCCTTGCAAAGGAGTGTTGCAAGGACATCCAGCTGCCTCCTGAGGAGATAATCTTGGGGAAATATCAAAGAGGAGAAACTCCCTCCAAAAAGACACCTCAAAGCCTTCCTGGGAGCCAAGATGCTTCTCCCTAGAAGTGACTGTGGGTTCTCAGTGAAAGAAGCTTGTATCTACCCCAACATCTCATCTGTTATTCCCAGGGAATCCCACCAGACCCCCAGTCCTTTCTCAGTAGCAGCTGCTGGAGCAGCTTGACCCTCACAGCCCATCCAAGGTCCACAGCTATCAGCAGCTTCAAAACCAGGCTGTGATGGCATCTGCCCTTCAGCCCCCATGCAGAGCCCTGATATGATGTCCTCCATCATCATCCACCTTATACCAATTCCCAAAAATCCTCTTGACACCTGGAGAGCTTGGACATCAGAAGGTGGATGACACTGACCACGGCTGGCTTCAGAGCCAGCTCTGGAGAGGGAGAGAGAGAACTGTGAAAGAGCTGAGTCCTTCCTTTAAAAATTAAAAAAAAACTTCAGCACTACATGACTACAGGAAGAAAAACAGATCTGTAAAAACACCCAAACTCTACCTTAATAACTAATTCTTTCCCTGCATGGATTTCCCTGCTTTGGGGAACTCTTGCAAGCCTATGGTGCACAAAGGCATGGGGAACCCCGTGGGCACCCATGGATCAGCTCTGTGATTTGCCCCCAAAAAGGCAACTCCTACAAACATCACCAGCA